CCCCACCGCTCGGCGGCCACCGCCCCTCTCCTGTCAGTCTGCACCCTGGGCCCCCAAAGCTGAGCCCCTCTGGCCCTCGGGGCTCCTGGCTGCCCCGGCGAACAGTGGCCACCGTTTCCTCGGGTTCGCCCGGGCTGAGGGTGCCTACCCCAAGCTTCACCCCCTGCAGGCCTGAGCTCACCCACGCCTCTGCCAGCCCAGGAGGCTGGTGCTTCTGAGCACCTGGGTCAAATCATTGCCGAAGGCCACACGGAAAATGGGCCCAGCTGGGATCTGGCCCAAGAAAGCTGACTCGGAGCCCACATGGCAAGCCCTAAACAAATGTTTGTGGAGTGAGTGTGCCACTGAATGACTCACATGGGGACCCACAGAGGGAGCTCCTTGGACAGCCTCCACCCCTTTGAGGGTGAGAAAAGCTCTCGGGGCATCCCGGGGAGCTCCCCAGAGCCCGCCGCAGCCGGGAGAACCCAGGTAAGGGCCAGGGGAATTGTTAACAGTGGGAGCAGCTCCTTCCCTGGAGCCTCCTGCAATTTTCAAAAGCGAATCACTTTCCCCAGGAGGATGCTTTTCTGTTCAGGGTGCCGGCAGGCCAAGGAGGCCACGCCTAGCCACCTGGTCCCAGCCAGGGCACCCTGATGCCCAGACACTCCGAACGAGGAGGGCCACGCTGGGGCCTGGGCACATAGCTGCTTCGGCCGTGCTGAGCACGAGCCGGTAGGAGAGCCACTGCCCCACAGGGTCCCTGGAGCCCTTAAATGCTAGGGTCCAGTCCTCTGGAGACCAGCCCACCTCGCTCCTTGGGGACTGAGACCATAAGGTGATGCTCAGAGAGTGGCCCCCTGCTCCTGGTGCCGATGCTGAAGGGCCACACAGGGAGGCTGGGCTTAGACCTGCACAGATCACTTAGTCTCTCTGAGCCCTGTTCGGCACCCAAATCACTGTTCGTTAAGAGGAGCCAATGAGAACATGGGCGTAAATGCCAGGTGCTGGCCCCTGGGACACTGCCCCTCACCCACCCTTCCCTGGATCCATCCACCTTCAGAGGAAGGCGATCATTCCTATTTACTGCAGTCAGGAGAGGAGAGCACATTACAGATGGCGAGACCCTGGATATTGGCCATCCAATGCCCCCATCTCCAGGTGAGAGAGAGGAAAGTGACCGTCAAACTCACAGGCAGGGCCCATGACTCTTGAAAGAAGGGGCCCTGGTGGGAAGGAAGCCCAGACTGTCCCCAGGACTGGCGTCTTGGCACCAGGGGCCCTGGTCATGACACATCTGGCTGAAGCACCACTAGAAGTGACCCCTTTGTTCCGTGTGGCCTCCTGTGCCTTGGCAAGGGTCTCACTCATCCCCAGAAAGTGTGGCCATTTACACGAGGACAGTCACTAAGGCCAGGGCTGCGGCTGGCCTCGGAGAGGTCCCAGCCAAGGAAGCTTCAGAGGCAGCCTTCGAAGGTTCCTCAGCGGC